CTGTGGAAATCAATGGCAGATGTTACCCAGTGTGAGATCCACTCCCAAACCAACATAAGTCCAACAGCCTGGGACACCATGCAGCGAAAAGAAATTGTCCCATGCCAAACCCGTAGGATGGCAACCTTGCTAACACGCACACCCTGGACACACCTCACGCTCCTTGCTCCCAGGCCAGCCTTCCTGGCCAAACCAGTTACGCTGGTATTTATTTTCAACACCTTTTCCATTTTCTGGCACTGAGTACACTGGGGAGATAACCAGTGAACAAGCATGGCTCAGTTCCCTGCCGAACTGGAGTAGCTCCCCAGCCAGAAGGAGGTACAGAGCCGGTGATGGAGCTCCATGCAGAGCTGAGCAGCTCCGAAATGTGCAATGGCAGCAGAGATGTGACCCACAGGACCTGAGCCCCAGGCTGTGACGGACGGGCCATGCTGCCAGGGTTGCTGAGTCCCTCTCCCGTTATGGGTGCCCAGCCCCAGGGTGAATGCAGCAGAGACAAGGGTCACCTCGAGGTGCAGAGACCCCTGTGTCAAAGGACTGGGTGGTCTGGTTGAGGCAGGGACACATTTCACTAGACCAGGTTGCTCAAACCACCATCCAACCCCGACCACTTCCCATGATGGAGCACCCACAACTTCTCTGGGCAACCTGTTCCACTGTCTCACCAGTTCCTGCAGACCTGAGAGGAACACAGACTCCGTCAGAGGGGGTTCATCTGCCCAAAGAGAGGCACCTCCAATATGTAGGTGCCAACATCTGGTTTACTCATCCCAGGATCTCTATACTGTCAGCGGAGGAAAACTGCCACTTTTAGGGAGTGCTTGTTCTCCTTTTAATGAAGTTGTGATAAAACCAGTCAAGGGAACGGCATCGCACAAGAGGAAGTTTCTCCCCGTCATCTGCGAAGAATCGTCTTGATGATGTGATGTGATTTTTCTGTACCAAAACTGGCCGTCGTGCTGCACCCCAGGTGCATCTCACTGCAACTCACAAGAATAAAACAACCTCTCTCCCTCCGTCTTCTGCCACACACTCTGCCTGCAACCCCTCAGCTTTTATCTGCCTACTCTGCAGCTTAATGAATTGACTCTTTTAAAGTGCTTTGAGAGAGAAAAGGTGTTTTAAAAGCACAAAAGGGACATTAATATCAGATGCCAAGACAAAACAAAGAATAACTGTGATGCTGGTGCTTTCTTGATTAGTCAGGGCACCCCAGGTTACATTATCTTGTTTGCAACTGTGACAGAAACGTGATACCAGCCCTTCTTTGGAAAAGTAACTTTTATTTTGTTGAAGCCGTATATTTTCAAGGATGGAGTAAAGCTCAGAAGCCATAAATCATGCCCAGATAAGAATTATCTCAAACAATAGTTAGTTTGTAGCAGGATGTTGCTTGTTCTGTGATAATTGCTCAGCGTTTGAGGCAGACTTCCCACCGCCTGCTCAGACACCCAGCGCAGAACAAAAATTCCCTGGGCTGGTTGCGGTTCTTAGCATTTGAAATTCGAGCATGTTAAGACAATTTTAAAAATACTGCTCCACATCCACCCAAATCCTGCAGTGCTGCAGCCCGTTAGATTTCAAGGACCGTCCACTTGCGGTCAGAAGACACGGTTGCAGCATGGAGACCTGCTGGCCTGACCCGAGCTGGGCTGGGTAGCGGTGGCGAAGGAGACGTGGCGATGCAGACCTCCCTAGGTGCCCCAGCTTTGCTGCCTGTCAGCACACGAGCTCCCACGTCACTGCGACCGGCGGGTGCACTGGAGATGCCGCTGGAGCTGGGATGCGGGGACTGCTGGGTTAAGGTGTGGGGAAGCTGCTCCGCGTGCAGCACCCCTGAGAAGTGCATCGCTGGCTGTTGTACAGCCAAGGTGGGTCAGAGACAAGGCCACGCAGAAGGCGCCAGACAGGCAGCTGTGGGGGGCAGCTACCTTGTCCCCAGTGCTTGGGCTGCACTTGAGAGCTGCTGCTACCACACGTGCCTTCAGAGGCTGTTGGGGACCCTGGGTCACCCTACCCCAGCATCTCCTGGGACCTCAGCTGGCTGCTTTCCTGCCTCGACGGCTGCCATGTAGCCCGAGAGGAGTGCTAGGGGTGGGACAGGGTCTCGTGAAGGAGTGGGAAACCAGCTCCACATCTGGCCCTGCAGCAGGGAAGGCACATTTGAGTAGGCAGAGATGTAAAGTTTGGCTTGGAGATCATCCACAGGCTGCTGTCTGCCTGCTGGAAGCAGCATCCTGGACCTTGCCCCTTGCACCCAAAATCCCCTAACCCACAGCTCCAAGGTGAAGGAGGGACTTGTAAAACACCGCTGACTTCATCCAGCAATACCCATATCGGCACACAAAAGCTGCCTTTCCTTTCGGACAAAGCCAGCATTCCTTGCGGGTGGCCTCTCTTTCTCCACAAACCAGCCATGGCCCGTGAAGGGCGAGACAAGGAGTCATCCTCTCTTCCCCACCCATCCCACCGCCTCCCCGCTTCATCCCCATCGTTGGCATCCTCAACGATGCCATTAGCACCACTGCTGAACGGGGTGCCACCTGGTCAGGGTGTGCTGGTCTGGGGTGTGCACACACAGCCGGTTGCGTTGAACACAGCCCCCGAGCTAAGGAAACAACCCTCTGTCAGTGCCATGAACCAGCCCAATCTCCTTTACCTTCTGAATCCGTGGACCCCCAGTCCAGCTTTGCTGCAGGCAGCGTGAGGCAGAGAGGCAAAGCTGCCATGTTGAGTAATCAGGCTGTCTTCAACTCAGGACTGGCCACCACCAACGCAGCGCCGCTGGGTGCCCCGTGGGGACGGCAGCACTGGCTTGCACAGCCCTGGGACTCCTTATGGGATGCTATGGCAGATCAGGGGTCCACAACCAACCTGGCGCTGGAGGGAGGGACAGAGGTGGGGGTGAAGAGAAGTACCCATGTATATAGGACCCCCAAAGACCTACTGGAGGACAGCCAGAGCAAACACTGCTGAGACCGAGAGCATCCCCCTTGCAGGCAGCTGCACCAAGAGATCCAAAGCCCCTTGCTGAGCCAAGCCCCTGGGGAAGGGCAGCACCCCTGTGCCCTCCTCAGCAGCAGCGGGTGTCCCTGTCCCCCTCGTCTGGCTGCAAACCCCTGACGGTCCCCAGCAAAGCCCCCACACACACCCCAGCTCTGGCGTCCCAGATGTGAGTGGTCCTGGCTCACACCAGCAGGGAGAAGAGGTGAAGAGCGAACAGAGAGGACGAGTGGTGCAGAAGAGGGGCTGGGCCCCCCTCTGACATAAACGTGTCTACTTGTGCATGGGCTCACGAGGTGGGTATTTACACAGCAAAACAAGTGCTGCACCCCAGATCTCCCTCCTGCCTCTCCTCCCACTTCCCAGTCCACCGTCTCCACGGGAGACAGAGGCAACACAACTGGTTTTTTCCTCCCCCAGGTTTCCAAAATTGACTAAAGAGGGGAAACACCCAGCAAAAGTCTTTGCTGTTAGGGTTCAGGTTGAGCTGGGCCATGCTGGTTCCTGTAGCTGCGACAGCCACATGGATGTCTCTTCCTGTTGCGCGCGGCAGAGACCTCTTCCATGAGTGCTGCCAGGACCTCCCAGTGCAAGTAACTCACCACGAGTATCCTACTCCCTCTGCTTTTTCTCAGCAATTGCAGGGCTACCTTCCTTGATGTCCCTCAGGCCAGCTTCACTCCCAGCACAGTGGGACTGAGGGAGTGAAGCTGGTCACCGAGGGACCCACCTGCCCTGCCTGGGGCTGGCTCCTGCCTTGCTCTGACTCTACCTCCAGGCGGGGGCTATGAAAACACCAAATCATCCCGTGTGAAAGCAGCAAAATCCCCTCCATGTTCCCCATGCAGCTCCTCTCGCGTGGCCTGTTTCTATAATGATGTCCCTGTCACCAACCCAGACCAGCAGGAAGGGCAGAGCTGCTCTTCTTTTGCCCAGGAGGGAAACCGAGGAAGATCATTTCTCCCCAGTGAGGTGTGCTTTCAAAACAAGCTCAAAAGGATGGCTGTGGTTAGTGTTACCCATCGCCAGCCCAGGCATCATCTCACAGAGACCTTGGTCACGCAACTACTGCTGTGTGATTGGGGAGATGTCAGCTCTCAAGGGGGGCAGAGCAGGCTGGCAGCTGATTCAAAGCCAAAAGCGTGACTCCCAGGTGCTGCTGGGCTTTGGAGCAGGCACGAGGGCTGCAGGACTGCGACATTCAGGGGATCAGACCTTCAGGGAATGCCACACCTTGAAGCTTCAGGGCTTAGACCTTCAGTGGTCACCAAACAGCAAGGAAGGGATGGGGGAAGATGACCTTGGTATGGCTAAGGGAAAATGATTTCCCACCATGCAAAAGAAGGGGCAGTGGGTCTTTCTTCATAGCAAAACGCATGTGACTTCAGCAGCCTGGAAAGGCCTGAGGACTACAAGATACACCTGGTCACATCCCCTCCACCAGCAAGACCCTGGTGCAACGAGAAGTGCAACCAACAGCACAGCCTTGCCCTCATCCTGCCCTGCTCCCTGCTGTTTCCCAGCCCCAAATCCTTGCACCCTCACTTCCTTCTCCTTTCTCCAGGCCCCAGAAAACCCTCCTTAACTAAAATCTTTCCCTGATCACCACCTCCTCCCTGGCAGGGATGGGTTTCTGCAGAGCTCACTGTCAGTGCGCAGGTCTCAGTGTTATCACACCAGAAAGAAATAACCTCATACCACATTTAGCGTGCATCTCCCAGAGGAAGCATCTTGACATCTGGAAATCACAGAAACTTTGTGGCCTGCACCGATAAAACCCGAACACTTTACAACAGACAGAACTTGAGTTACAATGATGCTGGCCCCCAGCGACGTTACCTCAGCCCTCCCTGCTACTCCCCAGTTGGTTCATGATTATTAATGTCACCATAATAAATACCAGAACAAAACTGACAGCATTTGGCCACGTATCTTAAAGCATTGCCCCACTCCTCCTTCACTCCATGTCTTTGCAGCCTTGGTTTCCACCCCTATCAGTCATCAGAGGAGCCTTTAGGGACAAACCGTTTGACCATGTGACAAGCCAGGTAATAAAAGCCATGCAGAAGTGCAGCTGTGGCATCGATGACCAGCGAGAAGACTCCCCTGATCCCAGTGGTCATGTCTTTGAGGATGGCAGGAATGGCACAGACGGTGTGGTAAGGGAAAGCAGCGAGGTAAAGGACAAACGTCACGGGGATGCGCAGGATCATGCAGGTGATGGACAGCACGTCTTGAACAATTTGCAGGAAGCCCAGCAAGATGTTGACAACGACCCTCCCCACATCATAAGGGATGCTGATGAGCACCATGCTGATGGCTTTAAGGTAGGACACCACCCCGTTCCACAGGCTGTAGACTCTGTTCAGAACTGTACCACCAACCCACTTGATAACAAGCCACAGAAAATAAAACACGAATTTCACCAGCTCCACAAACACATAGATGAGGAGTTCCAGAAGTTTGATGAAAGGGGTAGCAATGATGCCAGCCACTTTTCTCACTAAGCCGCTGTCTTTGGCCTCCTGGTTGTCACTTGTTCCCACTTGCTCTCCAGAGCGAATCTGACTGACAGCTTGCAGTATTGCTTCTGTTTTCTCCTGCCTTTGGTTGTCTCCTCCACAGTTGCCCTCGAACAAGTTAACTCCTGCTAAAAGCTGCTTCTCCAGCTCTCCCACCGTGAGGTCTGCCAAGCTGTTTTCATCATTCATCTGTTTCACTAGTCCCAGGGACCATCCCTCCGGAGCATCACAGCAGGCTGCCAGCCAGAGGGTCTCTGGCACTGACAACTTGCCTTTAACTCGGACACTGGAAGGAATCGCGCCTGCAAGGAGATACAGATGATCCTTCGTGGGGCAGTGAGGGACCAGAGCTTGCTCCACTACCTTCCCAATGTCCCTGTGCCAGCTTTGGCTCAGAGATGGGCTCAGAGGGACAGCATTCGTAAGCGTGTACGTGGCCACCTGGAAATCTGCCTCATTAAGCAAGCTGGGATTGAGTAGCCCTCTCTCGTAACCGGAGCCCACGTAGTCTGAGGTCAGGGCTTGATTTGCACCAAGGTTGGCCACAGTGCCGACGATATCAGCTTCATGCACCATCTCGTGCAGGTCATTTTCTGGATCATCTATCTGAAATAGTAAAGAGAAGAGTTACTGGATGCAAATTGCCTTTCTATTATGACTGCAACCACCCGCTGTGCCTCAGACCACATCCTGCGCTCCCTCCTTATTTTTCTTGCAGCGCTTCAGATGAGTGTATGCTCTGCTTAGCTGCCCTGCCAAGCACATCGGTTTAGGCTGCAAGGGATGCTTGCAGCTCTCCAGTCTGGTCTGCAGCACAACACAGCCTCCAGAATCTCACCAGCCACCCTGCACCAAGCCTCTACCTTGTGCTTTTTTTTCTAGAAGAGATTTTTTAAGACCAATAGATGACTACATTTAGGCCCATGTTCTCACCTCCTATGGGCATGGTACCTCCAGTTCATTTAAGCACCCACCACAGGCCTTAATTCAGTCCCTCTGAACCATCAAAACTAAGCCACGAAGAAAAAAACCCTATGGTATATAAGATGCCTAAAGAAGGCATTTACCTTTCACCACTGATTAGGTAAGAAGCCAAGAATGAACTTCCCTGCCTTGAACACGGGCATGGGAGTGAGCTCCTAGGGCTCTTTCAGGGCTTGTCATCAGTAGTTGGAACCTCATGTCATTAATGATCTGAACCTCATCCTTAACAACCACAGAGCTCCTGGCATAACATGGGTGAGGATGCCATCACCGCAGATCCTCCAGGAAATGACAGAATCATGGAATGGTTTGGGGTGGAAGGGACCTTAAAGAACACGGGCATGGGAGTGAGCTCCTAGGGCTCTTTCAGGGCTTGTCATCAGTAGTTGGAACCTCATGTCATTAATGATCTGAACCTCATCCTTAACAACCACAGAGCTCCTGGCATAACATGGGTGAGGATGCCATCACCGCAGATCCTCCAGGAAATGACAGAATCATGGAATGGTTTGGGGTGGAAGGGACCTTAAAGATCATATAGGTCCAACCC